GCTTGGTCTCACCCAAGATGGCGGCTCCTGGAGCAGCTGAGCATCCTGGACTAGAAAGCAATGGATTTCTTGCTTCTGCCACAAATTCCCCCAGCTATAAGCCTTCCAAGCTTCTAAATATTCCTTATATGTGGTTCAGTGTTCTGGGACCATCCCTTGAACCTGCTTGGTCAAGTATTCTGTGTTGTTGTTGGCGGAGCTCTTACTACACGTCCACCTGATCCGCCATCTTGTTTGTTCTCACTTCTATTAACTTTTGAAGGTTTACTAGTTATGGTATTTTTGCTTCTATGTATGAAAGTTAAAAAAATAATTCCTTCCCCCATAAAATACAAGAGCAACCAGTTGTCACCATCGAGTAAGAGTGAAATCTGGGATTCTTTGTTAAATTAGTCCTTAGTGGCATTTAGGAACTTTGTTGTAGGCTGCTTCGCTGACACCATGACAAACTAAAGTGTAGGGTTGTGTCTGGTTTTGTTTTAGTTTTCTTTTCAATATCCACTACTCATGGATTAAGTCCTAAGAATGTTCCAAATATAAGGCAGGGATCTGTTTGGATTCCACCATGGGTATGCTCTGTGGGCCCCCTAACCTCCTTGATTCTAATTTTTAATAACATACTTTCTGGTTATAGGAGTAAACAACCAATAAACAAAAAAAGATGCCCAACTTAGTAGTAATTTAAGAAATGCTAATTAAAACCTACAAGATTAGGAAATGCTCAAAATAAGAAAGATAATTCCACTCTATTATCTAGATATAATTATTGTTAACATTTAGATTAGAATCAAGGAGGTTAGGGGGCTCAGGAAAAATGGAAAGTTATACCTACAAAGGAGAACCAATAAGACTAAGCTTGGATTTTTAAGCAGAAACCTTGCAGGCAAGAAGGCAATGGAATGATATATACAAAACTCTGAAAGAAAAAGATTGCCTACCAAGAATCATATACCCAGCAAAGCTTGTCCCTCAACTACAATGGTGAAATTAGGACATTTCCTGATAAATGAAAATTAAAGGAATTTTTAATGACCAGGCCAACTTGACAAAAAATGCTAAAGGGTTTTCTTTGGACTGAGAATCAACAACAGCACACAACAACCTGAGATTACCATTCATGGCAACACCACCCAGAACACAATCCAGATATTGTTAAGTGCCATCAAGTCAGTTCCTACTCATAGTGACGCTGCATAAGATTTCCAAGGGCCAGCTGGTGAGTTTGAGCCACGACCTTGTAGTGATTCAAACTGACCTTGCAGTCCAGTGCCACACCAGGACCCCCAATCCAGATATAGAAGTACTTAAAGTAAAACAAATCTACAAGACTGAAAATAGGGAACCAGAGATAATCAATGTATAATGAAGTCAACTGCAAAACAAAAAGAGGGATACAGAACTTCCAAAAGGCAAGGAAGTCAAGTAGATTTCAAGATAAAATAGACTGTTTTAAGCAGCGAAAAAAATAATAAATTACAGGATAACCTCAAAGAAAAGTAATACACTTGCACATCAAAATAAGAAGAGGAAAACCAGAAAGACTTTGTAAATATTAACACAATAGAAATGAAAATGACAAGAAAACTCACAAACAAATGAACTCAGTATAGAAAATTATGTAGAGCAAAGAATCCACGAGCACCACAAAAAAACCACAGAAAAGTGACACCAATCAATTCATACCTATGGATGATTACACTGAATGTAAATGGATTAAATGTACTAGTCATAAAGAGCAGAATGGATAAGAAAACAGGATCCTTTAGTATACTGTCTACAAGAGACACATTCAAAAGCTGGAGACAGCCTAAATGCCAATCAACAGAAGAATGGTTAAATAAACTTTGGTACATACACACAATGGAATACTATCCAACAGTGAAGAATAATGATGATGTCTGTGAAACATCTCACAAAATGGTTGAACCTGAAGGACATTATGCTGAGTGAAATTTGTCAATCACAAAAGGGCAAATATTATATGAGACCAATGTTGTAAAAAGTTTATTTTTTTATTTTTTTATTTCTTAATCTATGATGGCTATGGGGGGAGAGGAATAAGGGGAAATTATTCATGTAATAGAGGGTAGACACATGTTAACGTGGGTGACAAGGAAGGCAATATGTAACGAGAAATTAGCAGAGAAAAGATGAAGGTGGCAGCAGACACAGAGGAATGCAATAGTTAAAGTGAATAGAGGTCAATTCTGTTAACTATTGGTACACGGAGGAGATTGCAACCATGTAGTGAAGCAAAATGTGTGGTCTGTTGAATGTAAAACTGATGATCTGCTCTGTAAACTTTCACTCAATTCACAATAAAAACTTGTTTTTTTTTTAAAATGAAGATAAGCTGAATAAAGTATTAGTTAATAATTATCAATATTGTTTCATTAATTATAACAAAGTTATAATACTAATATGATATTAAAAATAAGAGAAACAGTGTGGGTATATAAGAACTCTGTACTGTCTTCACAACTTTTCTGTAAAACCTGTTGTAAAAGAATTTTTTTTATTACTTTAAAAATCAACCAAATACATTTGTTCAAAAACTTTTCATTAAAACTAATTGCTGCTCTTCTTAGCGAATGCAAAATAAAATAGGGCTCTGTGACTCTCTGAGTTGACTTTCTGAGTTGAATAACCTTTATTAAAGTCAGCCTGATTCTCCCAGAAGGCTGTTTGCCAAGAAAGGAAGGACAACAACTCCCAGAGTGCCGCAGTGTGGTTGTCAGGAGCAACCAAGGAATGCAGACTAACAGCTCTGCTGAAGTCTGAGGAACTACTGCCAGCCAGCCATGGGCCAAGATTATTACTCTGTGCTTCAGATCACTCGTAACTCAGAGGATGCCCAGATCAAGAAGGCGTAAGTTGGGGTAACGGTCATGCTTTGGGATTTGTCAGAGTAGGCCCAGCCCTCATCTCTTCCCTACAGAGTCCCCTTGCATAACTCAGGGCAGGCATGGCAAACTTTGTTTCATCCGTTGCTTCTTACACATCTGTATTTTGACTTTGGGTTGGGACAGGGTCCAGGCTGGAAATTAGGACACTTGGTTCCTCCATCTGTTCTCAAGCCATCAATCTGATCTCTACCCTCTGTGCTCTGGTGCCTCCTGGGTGTCTCAGTAACAAAGGAGTCATTTGAATTTTATCCTGAAGATTCTGGAGAACCAAAGGATTTTGAACAGGGAGTGAACTGGCTAGATGGGTGTGTGATAAATTTCATTCTGGTCATCATATGGGTTTGGGACATAAACTGCATCTCTAAATATGTCCACCAAATCTTGAGGACTTTGTGGTCTACTCTTAAGAAAGTCTAAGACAGGAGTCAGCAAATTTTTTCTGAAAACTCATTATTTTCTCAAGCATTTACTAAGCAGCTGCCATATAGACAAAGCGCAGTGTTAGGAGCTAAAGATATACTGGGAACAAGACAAATATGGTCCCTTATCTTGTGCAACTTAATTTTGTTGGTGAATACAGAAACTGAGTAAGTCACCTCAGCTGTAATGAATGTTAGGAAGGGGAAGTATTGAGGAAAATTATATTCGAGGAGCAACCTCTGAGGAAGCTGTCTCAGTGTCTTAGTTCCCTAAAGCTGTTATAACAGAAATACTACAAGTGGATGGTTTTAACAAACAGAAATTTAGTTTCTCAGAGTTTAAGAGACTAGAAGTCCATATTCAGAGCACTGGATATAGGGGAAGCCTTATTGTTCTGTCAACTTCTTAGCTTCTCTTCTGATAATCTGCTCCCAGGCAGTCTTCATGTGATTTGGCATCTCTTTCCCCATCTTTGCTTCTTTTACTTACTTGCTTGTTTAATCTCTTTTTAATCATAAAACAATCAATTTAAGAGAGAACCCACACTGATCCTGTCTCATTAACATAAGACAAGTCATTTCCCACTGGAATTGTCTTATGTTAACAGGCATAGAGGTTAGTAATAATAATACAATTTGGGATGGGGGCCACAATTCAATCCATAACAGACTAAGTAGGAGAACACAGAATATGTGTAAGAAAAAATGTCACTGAAGTTATGAGAGGGTCAAGTAAAGAAATGAAACAAGGGCGAATAGTGAAGGTCAAAGCGTAGATGTCTTATAGGCCATGCCATTGACTCTGAGATTTGAACGAAGCCTGTCTGAAGGATTTGACCTGAGGAGTGATATGACTTGAGTAACCAAATGAAAGAATCACTGTAACTATTCTGTGGTGAATTCACTGAAATGACAAGAATAAAGTAGGTGGTCAGTTTCATTAATAGTAGCTGTTTCATAAAGCAAAAGAAAAGATTTTGGTGACTTAAAACAGGATGAAAGTGGTGAAAATTGTGATATGTATTATAATCTGGAATTTTTTTTTTTTTTAACTTTTTGTTGTGAATTGAGTGAAGGTTTACAGAGAAAATCATCAGTTTTACATTCAGCAAATCATACACTTTGTTTCATCTCAATGACTGCCATTCCTTCCATGAGCAACCGCTGTCCCACTTTCTCTCTGTGGTTCTTATTTCCATTCCACCTTCCTTCCTATCCCTTCTCAACTTTGTCCTTAGGTAAGTGTTGCCTGTTTGATCTTTAAGGGTTAACTGTTCTATGGTGATCATACCTTACTAGTGATGGTGACCCCTTTATATGCTTATCTACTAAAAATTGGGCCACAAGGTGAATTCCTTTCTAGACCTGAAGGGCGGTTGAAGGCCATAGTCTCAGATTCCTCCAGTCTCTTTCTAGCCAGTAAGCCTGTCTTTTTTCTTATAATTTTGAGTTTTGTTCCACATGTTCTCCCACTCTATCTGGAATATTCTAATATTCCTTTCAGAGCAGTTGGTAGTGGTAGTAAGGCACCATCTAGTTCTGGTCTCAGAGTCGTGATGACTGATGGTCACGTGTTCCATTGGTGCATTGGACTAGTTGATTCTAAGCATCTGCAATTTCCATCACTCTTCTTTGTTCTGCACATAGAGAGACCAATAATTACACCTTAGATGGCTGCTCATGAGCTTTTAAGATCCTACTCACTTCATCAAAGTAGGATGTAGAACAATGTCTTTGTGGAATTGTTGTTAAGTTGTTAATTCTGACCCATAGCGACCCTGTATAGGGTTTCCAAGGAGAAGCTGGTGAGCTTGAACCGCTGACCTTGCAGTTCAAACGGCTTTGCAGTCTGGCGCATTAACCCACAGTGCCACACCAGGACAATATGTTATGCCAATTGACCATAGTGTCCTCTAAGACTATGGTCCTGAGCCCCCAGATCCAGTAACTCATTGCCTTAACATGTTTGGTAATATCTAAGAAATATTCCTTATTTTGCCCACTGTATGCTCTACCACATTCATACTTGTGTTCACAGGTAAGGTAAATATTGTTGTTGCTAAGTGCTGTTGAGTCGGTTCCAACCCATAGCGACCCTGTATAGAGTTTCTGAGGAGCAGTTGGTGAGCTTGAACTGCCAGCCTTGCAGTCCAAACTGACCTTGCAGTCCAGTGCATTAACCCACAGCACCACACCATGTACAAATATCCTCTGTCAAACTCTTAAATATTTGTGGCTATACTACAACTCTCCCTCCTGTACCTATTCAGCCTGTGTATCTATGTATCTGCCTGTAAAACACTGATACTCCAGGGTTGTGTATATAACAGTATTTACCTCTACCCCTTTAACCCTTGAGTTCCTCTCTGAGCCTTCACTTGTCTTCATCATTCCTCTTTTGTATATTGCCTTCCCCATCATCTGAATTGACATGTGTCTACCCTCTAGCCAGTGAATTTCTATCCCTTCCCTCCCATCCATGGTATTCATCAAAGAATGTTTCTTGTAGCACAGAAACTTTTTCTTGAGTCTTTACAATAGTGGTCTGATAAAATATTTGTGCTTTTGTGATTGACTAATTTCACTTAGCATAATGTCCTCCAGGTTCATTCATGTTATGAGGTGTTTTTCAGATTCCTTGTTTTTATTTAATGTTGCATAGTGTTCCATTATGTGTATGTACCAAAGTTTGTTTATCCATTCTTCCACTGATGGGCATTTAGGCTGTATCTGGAAATAGTTTTAAGGTATAAACATGAAGATATACTGGTGGATTGGATACAGTATGTGAGAGAAAGGAAGATATCTTAGTCTAAGTTCTCTAGAGAAGCAAAACCACTGATGTGTGTGTGTGTGTATATTTATATATGTATGTGTGTGTACCTTTGTATATATAGGAGCTAGGGTATCGTAGTGGTTACGAATTGGGCTGCGAACCGCAAGGTCAGCAGTTCGAAACCACGGGAGAAAGATGAGGCTTTCTGCTCCCATAAAGATTTAGAGCCTCAGAAACCCTGTACAGGGTCGCTATGAGTCAGAACCGACTCCACGGCACATAACAACAACAACATCTTTGTATATATATAATATACAAATAAAATGTGTGTGTGTTTATGGAGAAACAAGAAGTTTGGTGAATGAGAGGTTTATATCAACGAAATGGCTCCACAGCTGTAGAGATGGACAAGCTCCAAGTTCGTGGGTCAAATGTCAGGCTGAAGTCTTCTCCTGACTCATGTAGCTGCAGGATCTGAGGAACTCAATATCCACAGGTTGGACTGCAGACTTCTGGCTGCAGAGACAAATGAATCCAAGGTTAGCAGATGAGATGGCAGGCTCCCAACAACTCCCAGGTTTGGCAGATAATACAGTAGGCTGCTGGCTCAATTTCAAAGAACTGGAGTTCAGATAATAAGCCATTTGCAGGATCCCGACCCAGCAAAAAGCAAGAGAGCTTTGCTCAAGTGTCAATATATTGGAAGCAGGTTATACATCTTGAGGAAACTTCCTTTCAATTGATTGGCTGCTCATAGCAGATCTCTTCGTGGGGGATTACTATGTCTTAACTGCCTAACATGTAAGAATCCAGGCCTAGCCACATCGACATGCAACTTTAACTCTCACACCTGGTAAAGCAGCAGGTGAAGTTGATGTAGGACAGTTGGCGAAGAAAGGAGGGAGAATGGACTTGGTAATTAAATGGATCGTTAGAGGGTAACCCAAAAGAGAGAGAACTAAGTTCAATCAAGATTGGGTGGTGATAATAGTTACATTTCTTGAGTGTGAGGCTGTTGTTCTGAGCATCTTCTATTATTATTTCTTTTAATCCTCACAACCCAGAAAGTTTAGTGCCATACACCTAGCAAATGGCAGAGTTTGTATTCAGATCCCATGTCTATTATGATTGCCTCTCATGGGCTCTGGACCAGGTGTTGTAGGGGGAATCTAAGTGGGGAAAGTGAAGAGAGTCTGCAGTGTGGTTGAAGAAATGACACAAACAGTTCAGGACAGTGTGTGATGCCACTCACTGTTCAGTACATTCTAAGGGACGGTCATCAGAAGGGATAGCAGCTGTCCTGCAGAAAGATGAGCACAACTTGGCACTGGAAACGGTATACTCCAACTCCTAGACCCTGTATGACAGAGAAGACCTGTCCAGCTTTCCTCAGCTGTAATCTTAATGGAGGCACTCTGATGGTTAAGTGCTAGGCAGCAATCAAAAGACCAACCGCCAGCTGTTCTGCTGAGAACAGTCTACTTGTGGCAGTCTACCTTCATCGATGAACATTCTAGACCTCTCACTTCCTGATGCATTCTCCTGAAAGAAACTGGAGGGAGACAGGACAGTGGGCTGGGCAGTTTATTCCCAGCTCCCTCCCTGTGGGTTTCCTAGGGTTGACTGTGTGCCCTAAGTGAAGATCACAGCTCCTTCCAAGGTCCCTGTGCAAACACTCACCCCCTGGGTTTCAGTAACACTTCTTCCCTTACTCCTATAGGTTCTCGGGTAGCAGATGTGCCTCAGTGTGACAGCTTCACAGTACTGCCCTGTCAGTGTGGTGTCCCTCCACCCTACTCACCCATTGGTGAATGGCCCAGGATTACCCAGAATTACCAAATCCATGATGTCTCTTTCCTCCTGGGACATGTGCAGGTTTCTGCACTGAGTTGTAGGAGTGGGCAGATCCACAAGTAAAAAAAAAAAAAAAAGAATGAGCACAGAGCTGGAAGACAAGGCAAAAGGGCCTAGCATTCACTGAATGCCTCTCCATACCAGGCCTTTAGTACACCTTTTCTGACCTGATCCTCCCAAGAAGCCTGTGTGTCCATGTGGGTCCTCTGCGAAGCAGATATCACTGTAGGTTTAGATGTACAAGAACTGGACTGGGAAATACCTGTGAAGGGTAAGGGTGAAGAACTGGATATTTAGGGAGAGCTTCAGTTCATAGTGTAGGTCCAACGCCTATGGGAAGAAATAGGGAAGGAAAGTTTAGGCAAGAATTTCAGCCACATGATTCTAGGAAAATCTCAACTGGGCTTGTGTGCCCATGTCCTGCAGGAGAGGGCCAGCCCTAATATTCCCACTATGTTTAGTCATTGCTTGGAAGCAACTTGGAAGAAGTAGAACCTTGGTACAGATGCCCAGAGCAACCATAGCTGGGCTGTCAACTACACCCCCCACCTCAGATTATTTTCAAGACCTCCAAGGCTATCTCAATCTGTGAGGTCAAGTTTATCAACTCTGATATGCCCCTGGGGACATTGGAGCTCAGGAGGGCCACAGAAATAGACAGCACAGCCAGATGTGAACCCTGGCCTGCCCCGGTAAAACAGCTTAGCTGTTGTGACTGGTATTCTTCCTCCTTCTAGGTACCGGAAACTTGCTCTGCAGAATCACCCACTGAGGTCAGTTGAGCCAACTTCAGCAGAGATATTTAGGCAGATAGCAGAGGCCTACGATGTTCTGAGTGACCGTGAGTGACTGGGGGCTAAGGGTGGATGGGTCAATCCAGGAGACCTCCTATCACCTATCTCTCAATTAAGATAATTCCTTGAGTTCTGGGGTGTTGGGTTTTCTAAAGGGGCCCAACAAAAAAATACGCATTCCTTTTCCCTGCCCAGAATCTAAACAAACTGAGAAAGAAAACGGGAGACACAAGAGAAGGTGGGAGATATGACAGTTCAGAGACATGAAGGCCCCAGAGTCAGGCTGATTTGCTCTCAGAGTCATGGCAGTGCAGGAATTGGTGGACAGTGCTCTCACCAACATGCTCCACAATCCCACCCATCCACTGCAGGGAGGAAGCCTTCCCCCTGGCAGAACAACAGGAGATGACTTCTTCTAAGGAGGAGGAGGCTAAAGCAGAGCTATTCTTCCCACATTTTCCTAGTCGCTAAATCTCCATCTCATCAAGACCAGAATAAGTATAAAGGCAGAGAGAGACCAGGAGTAAAGGAAGTGTTTCCTGTGGAAACCACAAGAGTCACTCCCACCCAAACATGGGCAGTGTCTATGTGGGTTCCCTAAGGACTGAGCAGTTACGATGGTTGAGTCCAACCAAATCCCAGGACCACAGCCAGACTCTTAGTCTGTCATTTTTTTCTTCTATTCCAAACCCCATCCCATCTCTCTTTTGGTCTATGGCGGACATACCTACCTCCATCGAGGATAAAATTAGACCCCTAATTTCTGGTGTCTCATGCCAAAGATTCCCAGACAGCAGGTATTTAGAAAATGAGGCAATTTTTGTCCTTCCCCTTAACCTTGGTCTTCCCAGCCCCTCCATCTATCCCAGCCCCCAAGACTGGACCCTTCTCAAAGTGATACATGTCCACAGCTGTGAAGAGAAGCATTTATGACAAGTTTGGAGAGGAAGGTCTGAAAGGTGGGATCCCTCTGGAATTTGGATCACAGACTCCATGGACAACTGGTTACGTCTTCCATGGCAACCCTGAAAAAATTTTCCATGAGTTCTTCGGGGGAGACAACCCCTTCAGTGGTAAGAGATACCTTACTGGGAAAAGAATTAACTCTAAAAGATGTTTTCCTTTGATTAGGTTTGTTTTGTTCTATTAACTTTAAGATAGGGAGAAAGGAAGGAAAGAACAGGGAAGGAGGAAGGAAGAAAATGGCAAAAAATGAAACCTAATTAAAAAAATAAATAAATAAATTGTGGTCCCCATTTACCTTCCCAGAATCAGTTACACATTGTTAACAGTTCAGTGTAGGATTATGGGTGAAAAATTGGGCAGGGGCAAAATAATTTGGGGAAAGAAGAGTTGGGGGATATGCTGGTGACCTCTCAAATTTGTTAGGGGCCACCCCTCCCCTGGAGTCTTGATGTGGCACTGTGGCATAATGCACTGGACAACAAGGTCAGTTTGAACCGCAAGGTCGGTGGTTCAAATTCACCAGCCGCTCCTCGTAAACCCAATACATGATCGCTATGAGTCTGAACCACTCGACAGCACTTAACAACAACCTCTCCCCTAAGTCTTTATAGAAACATGCATCTGGGCTCTCTAATGGTCTTGGGCTGGGCTGACCAATGAGGAGGTGGAAGCCTATGTACTGTGCCTCCCCTTTCCCCAAGCTAATAGTGCAGAAGTAATTTCTGGCACTACCACCAGAGAGCACTCTCTCTTTTCTGAGGCAACAGGGGTTGAAGGAAATGTTTCTCCAAATCCTGTCCGAAGTGGAAGATGAGGCAGTGGGGTGTGACAAGGGATGTACTAGCTCTGCAGTTGAGGCAGCTTCCTTACCCACTGAACAGTCAGTCTGAGAAGTGCTAGGATCACACGTGGAACAGTGAAGAGATGGGGCTGGCCGTGAATCTGAGTCTCTGGACAAATTCCTGTATTCCTCTTCTCTCCCCACTTCCTACAGAGTTTTTTGATGAAGAAGGAAATGAGGTGGATTTAAACTTTGGAGGCCTCCGGGGCCGAGGGGTCAAGAAGCAGGACCCCTCAATTGAACGAGACCTCTACCTGTCCCTGGAGGACTTGTTCTTTGGCTGCACCAAGAAAATTAAGATCTCCAGGAGGGTGTGTTCTTAGCCCACTCCTGTTGGGAATCACCAACTACCTACCTCTTCAACCCTGCCAATCACAGGCCTGGTCTCTGTTTGGAAGGGATAATTTAGGATATCATGTTGTTGTTATATGCTGTAGAGTCTGTTTCTATTCACAGTGATCCTGTATAGGGATTCCAAGGAGTGGCTGGTAGGATTGAACTGCCGACCTTGCAGTCCAGTGCTTCTCCTACAGCGCCACACCAGGGCTCCAATTTATATTAGTTTAGCTTTTTTCTACTGCTGGAGTTCACTTAGAAGTTTTCCTAACTGGATGGGCTCTTTCATTTCCTCTCTCTCAGTTCATCCCCATCTTGGGAAGAGGGAAGGCTCTAAAGGGAAGAAGTCTGTGAATTTTGCCCTTGGACATTCCTAAGGCATTCCCAGATCATACCTTCAGGTTTCAGGAGGCTATATATATACTATGGAGTCCTGGAGTGGCCCTGTAGGATAAGTACTGGACTGCTCACCAAAAACTGGTGGTTCAAACCCACAAGCTCCTCCTTGGAAACTCTATACAGTGTTGCTATGAGTATATAACAACAGCAGTGTACTATGGTAAGTCAAAAAGTATTGCTGTAAAATAAGAGAAACTTTTATTAAACAAAAATGTCAAAATGTGAAGCTATTGTTTACCAATTTACCCTTCATCTAGGTCAAAACCCTTCTGGTCTTCAATTTACACCATGTCAAAATGTCAGTTTTGGCATCCTCAAAGGGACTCATGTTCTTTTGAAATAATGATTCTGGGGAACAAAAACGTCTGAAAGTGCTAGATCAGAGCTGTAGGGTGGATGGGGTAAGGCATCCCAGTGAAATTCTCATAGGACTCTTGCTATCCTCAAAGAATGAACAGGTGCCTTGTTGTGAGGGAAAAACAAAAACAAAAACAAAAAAACTCTTGGCACAACTTTCCTGGCTTTTTTCTCAACACTGCAGGTTCCCATTTTCTGTAGACATCTTCCTAATAAATTCCCATGATCTTCCTGTGTCCTTCAAGAAAATCTATTAAGATGAATCCCTTTGGAGACAAAAAAAGAAAAGAAAAAGAAAAAGAAAAAACAACCAGTCATCATAACCTCCTGAGCTGACCTCTTTTCCTTAAGTTGAACTAGTCAAGCAGATCCCCTCAAAGTAACTGTTTTGATGGGACCTTTTTTTTGAAGGCACCATAATTAGACTAATACCAGTATATTACTCAGAGAACTTGTCTGCAGTCATCCATTGATTGCAGAGGCATGTTTAAACATGTTTTGTTTGGAATAAACCCATGTATCTATGAACTTAAATTATAGTAACAATACTTTTTGACTTAACTTTGTAACTCATGGATAAGAGGGAGCCGGCTTATGACTAGACTGGTAGACAGCCCCCAAGGTTACTGGCTGGAGGAAGGTCTTTAGTGCTTGAAGGTCCAGTCCTTGACTTGTCCCTATTTCATTACTCAACTTTGTGCCAGGCACTAGAACAAGGCCCTGTCACCTTTGCCCAGCAGAGGAGATGCCAGCTGTGACATATATCTGGGCATGTGATTGGTGAGTGGATGGAAGACATACTACAGAATGCATTGAATGAGGCTCAGATATGTTGACATGTAAGGTTTTTCTCAAAAAGAGCATATTTAGATCTGCTTTGAAGTACAGTGCTGCCTACAATAGGATAATACCCATATGCCTACAAGGAAGACCAGTTAATACAACTATTATTCAAATTTATGCACCAACCACTAAAACCAGTGATTATGAAATTTAAAAAATTCTACCAACTTCTTCAGTCTAAAATTGATTGAACATGCAATCAAGATGTACTGATAATTACTGACAATTGGAATGCAAAGGTTGGAAACAAAGAGGAAGGATCAATGGTTGGAAAATATGGCTTTAGTGATAGAAACAATGCTGGAGATCTCAAGATAAAATTTTGCAAGACCAATGAATTCTTCATTGCAAATACCTTTAACCAACATAAAAGATGACTCTAGAGAACAAACAAGATAATGGATCAGCTAGAAGTGCAGTGAGGAGCTCTGTCAGCAACAACTCAGAATACCAGACCAAGCAAGCTCAGGGGATGGTGCCAGAACTCTGAACCACATATAAAGGAATATTTAGAAGGTTGGAAGGCTTACAGCTAGGGGAATTTGTAGCAGAAACAAGAAATCCATTGCTTTCTAATTCAAGATGCTCAGCTGCTCCCAGAGCCACCATCTTGGGAGAGACCAAGCAAGGGAAGGATCAGAGCAACCATGGACGCCTGACAGAACCGTGGAGATAAAGGTGTAGACACTTTTTTGTTTTTTTGTATCTGTTCATTGGTCTCTCACTGTCTGTGCATCTCCATTCTGGTGACTAGAGGGGGTGCCTGAGTGAGTGGACACCCTACCCTCACCCCCGGAGGGTTCTACTACGCATGTGCACAGATCTCGAAATTTAAAGTGACAGTTTCCACTTAAAACCAAACAGCAGTGCAAAACAGTCACAGCTGGCCCTCAAACTGTTTATCACTAGGAAAAAAGGCCTGAACGGGGATTGTGGAACGGGACTGGCAGACTAAAATGGAAATAGGCCAAAAATTAAATCCTGAGTTATGTTACAATGAACAACAGTGACATCTTGAAATTTCTCAGGAAGAAGAGTGAAAAGGGAAGCCCATCTAATCACATATACCTGGAGGCAATCAGAAAACATAAAAAGTACCAAAATACACACCCATCTAAGTATTAAGGCCACAGATAACTCCTGAATATGCCCAAAAAACAGAAACAGATGACCATATCAGCACATGCCCAGAAACGAGATAAAATTACTTGAGGCAAATGAGCTGGAAGTAGACCTATATGCCATACTGGAAGATGGGTAGCCTTTGGAAGTGCCTGGGAAGAAATTCAGAAAAATGATTATAAAATGTATCAAAATCACTATACAATGGAGTAGAGAAAAATAAGGAAGAAGTCAGGAAAGCTCTATAGGAACAATTAAATAAGATAGATACAGCATTGTATCTATCTGTAAGCCTTTCAACCTTCTAAATATTCCTTTATATGTGGTTCAGAGTTCTGACACCATCCCCTGAGCCTGCTTGGTCAAACCTACAGAAAGAGGTCCAAACAATTAATAATAGAATATCAGAAATGGACAATATACTGAAAGGGCAAAGGAGTAGAATTGAAGAGATAAAAGGCAGAACTAGTGAGCTAGAAGATA